TCTCCACAACCTCGCCAGCATTTGTTGCTTGCTGTTCTGTTAAATTTTACTGTTCTGAATGGGGTGAGATGATATCTCATAGTTGTTTTGATTTGAATCTATCTTAGAGCTAGAGATTTTGAACATTTCTTCATGTGCTTGTTGGCCATCTGAATGTCTTCTTTGGTAAAGTGTCTATTCATATCCTGTGTCCATTTTTCTGTTGGAGTATTTACCTTTATCTTGTTGTGGTGCTCAAGTATTTTATAAATTCTAGATATAAGTCCCTTTTCTGAAATGTCATTATCAAATACTTTTTTCCCAGTCTGTGGCTTTCCTTTTTTACCCTGTTGGGGAAGTTTTTGGATGTGCATAGGGATTTGACTCTTAGAAGGTCCCATTCATCTATTTTATCTTCTCCTGGTTGTATCTCTTTTCTCTTTAAAATCTTTTTTCATTGTTGCACTATTTCCTCCCTCCCCCCGACCAGTCCACTTTGCTATGCACCTCTTATCCTGGATTGTTGTCATGTAAATAATACCTAATCATATATTCCTTTCAAATAGTTCTTTCCATCATCTGTTTCAATGCAGTGCACATTATTTTCCCCTCTTTTCCTAGTTTCCCTCCAACCCCCATGACAGTCTTGTTTTATAACAGTGGCATTATGCAGTATTTGTCCTTTTGTGACTGAGATATTTCACTCAGTATAATGTCCTCCGGGGTCACCCATTTTGTATAATATTTCATGAGTTCCTTGTTTTTCAATGCTCTGTAGTATTCTATTGTGTGATTATACCACGGCTTCTCTATCCATTTGTTGATGGGCACTTGGATTGCTTCCATCTGTTTGCTATTGTGAATAATGAAGCAATAAACACAGGCATGCATATATCTGTTTGGTGGTAGTTTGGGTTTTTTTAGGGTATATTCCCAGTAGTGGAATTGCTGGGTCAAATGGTATTTCTATTTTCAACTTTTTGAGAAAGCGCCATACTGCCTTCCATAGTGGTTGCACCATTTTACACTCCCACCAACAGTGAATAATGTTCCAATTTCTCCACAACCTCCCCAGCATTTGTTGTTTGCTGTTCTGTAGAAATTTACTATTGTAACTGGAGTGAGACAATGTGTCTTCTTTCTTATAAGATTTATATGTAAAGCTGTCATTTGAGCTTATTTACAAAAAATATTATCAATGAATAAGTTATGTACAAAATTATGTTATTCTCTGGTATAGTTTCTATAATCAAATCCATTATTTTCTAACCATTGATTCTTCTTTATTTCCAACTTAAGCATTCCAATCACTAGTATTTTGCAATGCATCTTTACTGCATGTTTGATCAATTTCAGACTGGACAAGTTAGTAGAAACTATCTCCCTCCCATCTTTAGCCTTAGTGGTTTGTACATGTTGTTATTTGCCATCAAGTCACCTGTGACTCATAGTAACACTAGGTACAACAGCTCTGATCCCTTCCCTATTCTGAGCTAGTCTCATCATCTCTGACACTCCTAATTCCATTTCTCCATGCACTGAGTCAATCCATCTCATCCTGGGTCTTCCTCTCTTGTGCTGTCCCTTCACGCTTCCAAGCATGATGTCTTTCTCCAAGGTTAGGTCTCTCCTGGCCAGATACCCAAATGGAGCTTTAAAATTCTTGCCTCCAGGGAGCAGCTGTTTTCATCCTTTCCAGGCCAAACCTGTTTGTTCTCCTGGCAGTCCCTGGTATATTCAATACTCTTCTCTAGCACCACAGCTCAAAGGCATCAATTTGCCTTCTATCATCCCTAGTCATTGTCCATATCTCTGATGCATAGCAAGTAATTGCAAAGACCATGGCCTGTATCCGTTGCACCTTATTTTCCAGACTGAAATCGTTGCTCTTCAGTACTCTAGTGAGGTTCCTGACAGCAGATTTTCCCCATGCAATTTGTCTTTTGATTTCCTAACTGCTGGTACCCAGAGTGTTAACTGTGGAGCCACATAAGCTGAAGTAGTTAACAATCTCAAGTTCTTCTCCATCTATGATGAAGCTGCCAATTGGCTCAGAGGTGACTTATATTAACAAATCCTTATTTTATGTGTACGGGTATCACTGATAATGGTGTTATTTATAGGATAATAGACATACATATGAAATAAAGACCTGTTAATATAACAATTATTCAAATGGATGCACGCACCACTAAGGCTAAAGATGAAAAAGAAAAAAAATGATAATTTCTACCAACTTTTTCAGTCTGAAATTATCAAACATGCAATAAAGATGTAAAATCTTGCTGAAGAATATCCAAAGAGGACTGGAACGATACACTGACAGAGAACTACCAGAAATACAACCTGGGTTTAGAAAAGGCCATGGCATTAGGGAGATCATTGCCAGTGTCAGATGGATTTTGGCTGAAAGGAGAGAGTCCCAGAGGAATATCCATCCATGTTTCATTGATTATGCAAAGGCATTTGATTGCATAGATCACAATAAATTGTGGCTAACCTTTAGAAGAATGAGAATCTCAGAACACTTGATCATGCTCACGTGAAACCTATACTTGGAGCAGGAAGCAGTCCTCAGAACAGAGCAGGGAAACACTGCATGGTTCAAAGTCAGGAAAAGAGTGTGTCTGGGTTGCATCCTGTCTCAGTACCTTTCAATCTATATGTTAAGGTTGGACGTAATGAGGAAGAATGTGGCATCAGAATTGGAGAAGTCTCATCAACAACCTGCATTATGCAGATGACACAACCCTGCTTGCTGACACTGAGGAGGACCTGAAGCACTTGCTGCAGAAGGTCAAGGATAGCAGTCTACGATGTAGGTTGAAGAGCAACATAAAGAAAACAAAAACTCTTACCACTGGCCCAGTTGGCAGCACCACTATAGATCGAGAAAATACTTAGATTGTTAACAATTTCAGATTTCTTGGTTCCACAATCAACACTCTTGGTAATACCAGTTAGAAAATAAAAAGACAAATTGCATTAGGAAAATCTGCTGTCAGGGACCTCTCCAGAGTGCTGAAGAGCAAGGATGTCAGTCTGGAGACTAAGGTGTATCTTATCCAGGCCACGGTCTTTGCAATTACTTGTTATGCATCAGAGAGATGGACAATGACAAAAGATGACAGAAGAAGAATCGATGCATTTGAATTATAGTGCTGGAGAACAGTGTTGAGCATACTGTGGACTGTCAAAAGAACAAACAGATTTATCCTGGAAAGGGTGAAACCAAGTTGCACCTTGGAGGCAAGGATTTTGAAGCTCCATCTCACATACTTTGAGCATGTTGCCTGGAGGGACCAATTCTTGGAGAAGGATATCATGCTTGGAAGAGTAAAGAAATGGCACAGGACAGGAAGGCCCTGGATGAGATGGATTGATACAGAAACTGGGGTAAGGGGGACAGGTGTGTCAGAGACAGTGAGTTTGGCTAAGGACAGGGCAAGATTCTGATCTGTTGTATAGGGTTGATATGAGTCACAAGTTACTTGACAGCACATAACAACAACAGCATTATATCCAAGACAGATCATGCCATGTTCTTTTATATGATAAACATGATTTTATTATTTTTCAATTTTTCTTTCATAGCATAGTAGACTGCATCATTATCTGAGTCAAAATAGTCAATGTCAGGCCATTTTGGATGACTAATGCTCAGAATATATATGATTAATATTATTTATATATGTTAATATATATGTTATATATATTATATATATTAACACATATATGCTAAATATATATGTTTCATTCCATTTCATTTTTATAGCTTCCAATTATCTTAGATCCATACTTAAGAAATGTTGCATCCAATGACTAGAGGATACTTGCGATTGTGGCAAATCTTCAAACAAAAATTTAACAGTAAATGAAGATCTGAAAACTTTTCTCCACATCATCGAGGTCAACTGCACTCTGAGGAGAGAGCTCTGGAGGGGGCAGCATCCCCAGCCATATTTTAAGTGTCTCCAACTATGTTGCACTGATATTCCAACTGTTTTCACAGGCTAATTACTTCCAAAATGACCACTGATTCTGTTTTCTAGTGTGTCTTAGTGTGGAAGCTCTACTGAAACCCGTTCAACGCGAGTGACCCTGCCAGCATTTGAAATACCAGAGGCGTAACTTTCAGCATCACAACACCCTGCACACCCCCAGAGCATGAGAAACTGATAGACCGCTGGTGGCCTTTAGCATTACTTAGGGCTAACTTACTGTTTGGCTTTATTATTAGTTTAGGGGATATTATTGGTTAAAGATTTAAAGATTATTTTTTGACAAACAGCTCTAGGAGTTCAACCAGTCTCTTTGACTCCAGAAAGCCTAGTCCATGAAAAGACAAAAATCTTTTTTGCATTTCCCCCATTTTGATCTGTATTTTGTCAAAGGATCTTTGATCACAATTTTCAGCCATGCTTGTTGGGCATGATCAAGGTTTTTGGTTTGTTTTTTTTTTAATTTCTGTGGCAAAGGAGGTCATTGTCCATTGAGATAATTAGACATATATTCCATGCTCTCCTATTGCTGAGTCATTTTCCTCTGTTGCTCTAGGTTGAGGTAATAGTTTTAAAAATAAGGTAGAATTTTGTGTTGATTTCTTGAAGATACAATGTAATTTTATAGGTACACACTGTGTTATTCAGAACATGCCTCTCTGACATGCCTTATGAATGTACGTTTGGAGGGGTTCTGGGGAAGGTGTCCGGGCAGAGCCCACCTGGGCAGGTGAATGAAGGCTTTGAAGAAGGAAGGGCTGCCACCCTGCCAGTTGACCTCTGGCTCCAGCCACCTGAGGGTGCTTAGCTGTGGAATCTCAGGTGCGTCTGTCCTAAGCCCAACTGTTTCCTTCTCCATAAAAAGGTCACATGGTTTCCTCTATCTCACAGAGTTGCTGAGGTAATGCACACCTAAAACATCTTATTCAGCATGTAGCACTCAGGAAAGGTTACTTTTTCTTTTTTTTCTCTATAATTATATTTTATTAATTTTCATAAACATTTACAGAGATTTTGGGTTTCCATTCATTCATTGTTGCACTATTCTCTCTACCCTCCTCCCAGTTTGTTCTTGTCCAAATGCCACAGTGCTTGTCAAAGCCAGTTCTGATTAATCTTCTTTGTCAGTGTGTCCTTTGCCATTCCCTATCACTCCTCCCTGAGAGAGACTTCACCCTGAGTCATAAGGAAAAGGGGATGGCGTATTCTCTTAGCTACTTCCTGCTTAAAAGGGACGCTGTGGGTTTCAGGGTGAAGATCTTCTCTCACTACTCTAAAGGGCCCCCTTGGCAGTAGGAAACACAAAGACTACTATGGAGATTGATTTTGGAATTCAGGAAAGGTTACTGATATTTCTGTTTATGGTTATTCATAATCAGAGAGGGAAAATACTGCAACCTTTAGAAAGCACTGATTTAGGCTGCTACATAGAAAATGTATGTTCTCACCCTCTGGGTGAGATCTCAGAAGTGGGTGCTTCTGACCTGTGAGACTTCTAAGTTACCTGTGGCACTCCAAGTCAAGATTTGGTGCCCAGATACTGATCCAAAGTTGGAAGCCTTCCTTTCTCCCCCAAGTCTGTCTACCTCTGGAGGTCTCACCTTGTCTGGCCACTATGAGGCTGGCCATGCAGTCAGGCACGCTGGTCCCAGCAGCCAGGAAGGTGATTCCCATAATGACATCAGGGATCCCCAGAGTGAAGCCAATGATGGTGACCTGGAAGCAGGAAGAAAGAGGAGCTAAGCTGAGGTCTATCCTCAGTCCTATTTACTCTCTGGAGCTGCTAATGAAGACACAGGCTTACACCCTGGGCTCTAAGGGATGGGGGCAACATTTTTGCTTTCCATATTAATACTGTGGGACACTATGAGACTTAGATCAGGGCTGCTGGCTCAGGGAACAGAATACTGAGGCCTGATTTTCAGTAGAAGATCAGGTATTTTGATCTGTGCTTATTCAAGGTGGGATAGAAATGGAGTTTCTGGGAGAAGGGAACCTTGGGACAGGCTATTTGAACTTAGGATGGTCCTGGGAGACCCAGGCTACTGTGCCTGGAATGGGAACACCCTCAGCTGGAGAGGTACAGCAGGCACTTGTAAGAACTGAGAAGGGGCTAGCCTTTACACCACCCAGACTTCCCCAGTTACTTCTTTTCTCTCTTTCTTGAAGCAAGGTAGCAAGATCATTGTTAGAATGGTTTTCACAGATTTTAACATAATTTTTTAAAAATTTCATACTGATTTATTTACAAAGTTCATACAGATTCTTTTTCACGCCAGATCTTTTCATTTTCTTCACCCCTCATCCCTCCCCCATCAAACTGTGAGATCTTATGATTATAGGCCCCCTCAGCCTTCAGTTCCCCCTCCCCTTGTATCCTCATACTTGTTCTATAATAATGATCATATAATTCTTATCTTTGTGGCATTGAGTTATTAAAAGAATTAATTTTTACAAGCACCCTGTGGAGTAGTGATATTATGATGCCCATTTTTCAGATGAGAAAATGGAGATAAGGTGAGGGTGGGTTTCAGGGGGACCACATCACAAACTGCTGGTATATCGCAAAGGGGACTCCAGCCAGGGCAGATGGGCTTATTTGCATAGGGGGCCCCTCATTTGACACGGATGGTTTCAGCCAGAAGGTGGGAACAAGAGATACTGAAACACTTCCCACATTACAGAAATGAGCCCGTTCTTGCTCCCAGTTTCCATATGAGAAAAGTGAGAGAAATGTTAAAGGAGGCAAGTGCTGAGAGAGGTAAGCAGAGATTCTGGCATGTGAAGAAGGTACTTTTTAAGAGTTGAACCTACTGGGTCATTTAGGATGCCTCATTTTCATTAAAATTGCTAGAAGTGCAAACTACATATCAGTATAAGAACATTTTTCTCACAGGCCAGTTGCTGGAAGAAAGATCTTGGTAGGAAACCTCAACTTCACTCCAATGACCACATTGTTCTCTGTCTAAAGGTTGGAGAATGTTAGCTAAAATCCCTTGAGTTGCCTCACTTCCTCTCTTTCTGACAAGAAAATACATCTTATTTCTGCTCAATGAACCTTGATGGGAGGTCCTTGGAATAGGGAGGTAAGTGTGATGGATAATATTTCTCCTTTGTTTCTCTCAAAAGCATTTTGTGGAATGGGCTACAAGCACGCAGGTGCAGTTCCACTTGCACTGGTAATCCCTGCCTTTCCTTCTAACCTTTGGCTTGGCCCTGGAAGCAGGCATGATGTGACCAGACCTGGCTTGGAAGGTGCTACTTCTCAGCTTCAGCTCGATGCTCCTGTTAGGATTCCATCCCGCTGGCTGGACCCAAGCCCACTGCTTCTTGCTTTCTCCCTTGAAATCAAAACTTTTTTTGAGTTGATTCTATGCATGCAGCCCCATGTGTGACAGAATAAAAGTGGTTTCCATAGTGGTTTCAACGGCTGATTTTTCAGCTGAAATCAACAGGTGTTTCTTTCACGATAACTCTGTATGGATTTGAACGTCCTACATTTCAGGTAGCACTTGCACATGTTAAACATTTGTGCCACCCAGGAGCCTTTCCTCCCTTATTCATGTCCATTTTTCAAGACTTATCAATCCTTCCACCAGAGGAGTAGGAGGAAAGCAGAAAGAGGGGAACCCCAGGTTAGCTAGTTAGTTAGTGTACTTGAGAGAAAGCCTTCACTGAGGACTGTGGGCAAGGATGAGGACACTATTCCCCAGACATGGAACAGAAAGCCAGTTCAATGACGATTTAAAATTAAAAACAACAACAAACTATAATGTGGTAGAGTCCTAGCTTTGAGACATGAGATTTAAAAGCACTGTCAATTTGGCTATGAACTTAAAGGCAGGGATGACTGTGACTTAATAATTTCAGATAACATATTTACTGTCATTTCCAAATAATCTTTACAGAAAATTTACTTAGGCCTTAAATTCAATTCTCCGAATTTACATTATATTTCCAGGAAGATTAATTTAGATTTACATAACATTATCACGGCTCTTAATTTCTGCCCAACTCCAGTTATATTTAGTAAGGTTTTCTTTCCAGATAAAAAGTGTAATTAGAAATGGACAGTGCATTCTGGAGAGCTAGAGTTTCTAAAATTGCTCTGCACTGGAAATTTTGACTCATAGCTCTACCACCAATGCAATCACTAGATCATTACTTAGCCTCAGAACATACTTTTGGGTGGACTCTGAGTTCAGTGACCTAATTTTGTGGTTTAGTTAAGTGAGACCAAAAACAGGGCAGAGACTGCATATAGTGGTCACTGCCCACTTCTTCATTTTCCTCTTCCTCCATGCCTTTTTCTGTTTGGTTTTTTTTTCCTTCCTTTTTCTGCCATTCTTCCTATTAGAGTGGGCAGAGTAAAGAGACAGATAGACAAACAGATACATAGATGGATGATAAATAGATAGACAGCTGCTGTAGTGTTGGTTGTTACTCACAGAGACCTTATATACAATAGGACTAATGTGTCTGGCCCTGTGTTATCTTCGTGACTGCCAGCAAGTTCAATTCCATAGCTGTGTAGCTAGTGTGTCGATCCCTCTTACTAAGGTCTCCTTTCCTTACCTCTGTGGCCTTTTATTTTACCAAATAAAATATCTGTCTCCAGTGACTGATCTCTCCAGACAACACATCCAAACAAGTGAGCCAATAAATGCTTTGCTGTGATGCACAGAGTTTTCCAGGGCTGATTATAAGAAATAGTCAAGCAGGCCTTTCTCCCTAGTTGGCCTTAGTCTGGAAGACCCACTGAAATTTGTCCACTGGGGTTGGTAGATTGAACTGTCATCATTTTTGGTTGTTGTTGTTATGTGCTGTCAAGTCGCCTGTGACTCACTGCAACTCTATGTACAACAACCCTAAACTCTGTCCTATCCTGTGCCAATCTCACCATTTCTGACACATCTACCCCCATTACCCCAGTCACTGAATCAATCTATCTCATAGAGGGTCTTCCTTTCCTGCGCTGTCCCTCCACCCTCCCAAGCATGATGTCCCTCTCCAAGGACTAGTCCCTCCCTGCGCTCTGTCACCAAGGAATTCCCACCCACATCTGCAATCCCAGTGGCATAGCCGGCATGCCAGCACCATGACAACACATAAATCCCCCAAGGAAGACAAGCCAACAGTATGGACATTGAGCTTGCCCTCGGAATGTGAAAGTGGTAGTGTGGCTATACTAAGTTATAGTCCTAAGAGACATTTTGTGTTCCCACTTGCTGTCTTTCATGCAATCGAGCATGAAATGAACATTCCCTAGTAGCCACTGGTCAAGGAAAATGCATAAATCTATGACTTGGGCCTGAACTGACCATTTGGATCAAAGCAGAGCCACAGGGTAATTCAGTTAAGAGTATCCAAACCACAGTCAGGCTGTGGGCCTGTGAGCAGGGGAGTGAATGCCATTTCTAAAAGACTGAGATAGGTTGGGGGCTGCAATCCAATATCACGTTCCCTTGAGTGGCGTGCTTTTTTCTCTCTAGAGAGCACTAACAGCGCCATTGACTCTCTGCACACTCACCATCCACACCATCACATAGGAGAAGGCTGCAATCCACAGCGTAGAGGAGGCAAATGTCACCATGAACCACTTCTCCCAGCGGGGCTTGTTGCAGTTGGGAACAGTGAAATACAAGACAAAACTCAGGGGCCAGGTGAATGCCCATTTCACACTTTCCAGTTTTCCAGCTGGAAAAAGAAAAAAAGAAAGAAAGAAAGGAAAAAAAAGTCAGCTTTTTCTGGAGCTAAGAAAAGCAATGCCCTTCACAATAGCTAATCACAAGATTAAATATTTGGGAGTAAATATAACTAGAAGCCCTAGAGATCTATTCAAAGAAAATTACAAAACATTATTACAAGAAACAAAAAAAAAGCCTAGAGAA